CTGCATATTATATCTATTCAATCGCCCCCAATTCACGTGGAAAAAAGGCAAGTAGGAAAACACTGAGCTTCGAGAAACAGCCATGTTAAGGCTAATGTATTTACCATTCCTTAAATATTTACAATCAAGACCACTCGTTTAGGAGACCGAGATCAAAAGATCCACACGTGCAAATAATGCTGTTTTCCGTTCGAAATGTTTTTCTTCCTATTCAATTGAACAACTGACTTAGCGTTTAAGCCGAGAAAAAAATCACAATTATTGAAAAGGTCATAGACAGGCCTACACAGACTCCCCTGTGTGGTTTTACGTTTGCGACGCAAAAGCCTTTAATTAAAGCTTCGCTCTGACGATGATGGGTAACCACGTGCTTCAAGTCGTGTTTTGAAGTTACACATGGCCTCCTGGAAATTTCTTTCCGAGGAGTTTGTTCTTAGAAGTCTGATAGCTTCTCCTTTAATAAAGCCTTTCTTAACACTTGGCGGGTGGCAAGATGAATAGTGTGTATATTGAAAGGTCTCGGTCGGTTTGTAGACTGATTTTTCAGAGATGACACTGTTGTACTTTTCAACATGTTTATTATCACTCTGAAAGCGTGTACATATAAGATCTTTCAGCTCTGAAAAAAAAAGCCTAATTGAAAAAACGTTATCTGAGGTCTCGTTTGCCGCAAGGCAGTCGACACTTAAAAAACAAACCAAAAAAACTACAGGCAAAATATTGCCTTTTGTGACAGCATACCACCCAGGGGTTAAAAAATTTAAAACAAATACTGATGGAAGAATGGAACCTCATCCAAAATCAGCCACTGCTGAAAACAATTTACAAAACGCCTCCGATTATATCATACAAAAGAGGTAAATCGCTCAAAGACATACTCGTTAGAGCGAAGCTTTAATTAAAGGCTTTTGCGTCGCAAACGTAAAACCACACAGGGGAGTCTGTGTAGGCCTGTCTATGACCTTTTCAATAAACATTTCGGCTTTACAACATGATTGTCTCTGGAACAACAAATTATATGTCTCTATATGAAGTATAAAAGCTGTTTCACCGCTGACCGCTCATATTTGGGTCGTTTTTTCTATCCCCGCTCGTCGCCCGTGATGTAGTAACCTCTGAGACGATGGATACCTTGGTGATATAAATAATGATGTGAGCTCACTCTATGTAGAAATAATCGACAAGAATCGATCGTATTACAAATGCACGATTTGTGGCCGAACGTTGTCGAGGAAACAAAGACTCGAAACTCACTTGAGTTGTGTTCATGGCAAAGGTGAGAAATAATACAAGCCAATCACAGTTTTGAATGCGACTACAAATCGTCTTTTACCCTCACATTTATAAAAGAAGGATACCACATTAGGAAGTATAAGAGATACATAGATGATCCCAGTGTACCAGTACCTAAATCTACAAAGCTTGACCGTAGCAAGTGTTCAGCAGCATGTTCCAACACCGCCATCTCGATTCCTCAGTCAGTCGTTTCCACTAATCTTAAAGCAGTAATGACAACAGAGTAGAGTGCGTCTTACAAAGGAGAAACATTTGTACAAGAGACAGAAGTAACTATATGCGATTACAGAGGTGCGTTGGAACTCTGGTCCACAAATAGTTATGCACTGTCCGAAGTATAAAACAATTTTGTTGATAGCTGACAGACAGAGAAGAACAACAAGTAAACTTTAGAGCTGTTATTATTGAAGTGTGACTTGCAATTTTCATTTTTATATAAAGAAGGACTTGTATTTTGCACCAAAAATAAAAAGGTGTAATATTTTTTGGGAGATCCAGTGATTGGGACATTTATGAAATTAAGTTATGAAAGGAAACTTGGTTGGTACTTCTCACCACTAACAAGTCTTGTTGACAAATATTTTCAGATCACAGTTTCAAATAAAGTAAATTGAAGATGTCATTTAAAAGGTGTTTTTTTCTCAAAGGGCACATTGACTACCTCTGTCTTGTCTGCATGCCAAATGTTAGCAAAGCATGTGGTATTGGAACTCTTACAAAAATGTTTTGTAAGAATAAAAACAGCAAAACAAATCACAGCAATTAGTCACGAAAACAGAGCAAAAAACTGAAAAAAAAAACAGCAACAACAATCATGAAAAAAGAAAGATTTATTAGGTGTTGAATTTGTTTGTCTAAGGCATGAAATTTCTGCTAAAAATATTGTCAACAAAAAGTCTCTGACAGTGTTTGAGGCAACTGAGCTTGACTGTTCCAAGGTTTTCTAACAAAGGCAACCAGTAATGTAGGTTAGGGAAGTAACTTATGCTAACAAAGTTCTTTAAGTGTAGATAACAATGTAATTATTGTTAATTATTGTGGAAGTTGTGTACCAAGGAACAGCCAATGAATGTTTGATGATTTTGGCACATCAGTGAACATGAGACATTAATTTGCATCACAATAAAAATATTTTTTGATCATGGAATCCAAGAGTCCTTTGAGGTTAGAAAGCAAATCTGTGATATGAGTACATTGGATTAATTGGCAATTTCCATTTAACATAACTGACAGCTGGTTCATGAGAAAATCCATATTAATGTAAAGATTTACTGAAACTTAGTTTGAATAATAAATTTCATGATCTTTAAGTTATAAACATATACATGTATGTATATCTCTTGGTAAGTTTTGTATAGCATACCTTTTATTGAGCCAAAGTTTTAAGCCTCTGAAATTACTCCTTTTCTTAAAACCTTCACATTCAAGGTATTGAGAATTTCTTAGGATTTATGTGGACCTCAGGGTATTAAAATTGCCTCAAATTCCATTCCCAGAAATTCCCAAGAGTTCCACACTTCTTAAATTATAGGTAGTTTGTAAAGCTGAGAATTCCTAGGAATTCCTAGGGATTCCAAGTCCTCACAAAACTGGAGTCTTCCTTTCCCAGATATTCCCAGTAATTCCAAGCTTTTTAAATCAGAGTTAATTTACATAGTTGGGAATTTTTGAGAATTCTTAGGAATTCCCAGAAAACTGGGAATTCAGTTCGCAAGGGATGTGATGGAATTCTCAGCCAAAGAGAGCGAGTCAATCTCCAAAATGTCCTGAGTACTTATACTAAAAAAAAATAAAACAAGTATAAGCAAAGAAAATTCAGACTCCCATAGGAAGTTACCTGCTGGCTCAGGTTGGAGAGCACTGGACTGCCTGCAGGAGGTTGAGGGTTTGAGCCTCAGACCAGAGCAACACTCAGGGTCTCAATAAAAACAACTGAGGAGAAAGTGCTGCCTTTGCCCTAACAACTGTAAATGGTTAGATGTTCTAGTCTTCTTGAATTAGGATAATAGAGTACATCTTTAATCAACTAGTTAGCAGGGGATTTTTTTTAAATCAATATTTAAACAGGGACATCACATTTAGCATAGCTAGTTTAAAGAGAATCCTGCAAAAACAAAATTTGACAATACAAAATTACACATAAAATTGACAGACAAAAGTAGAACTCATTAGAGAAAATACATATAAAGTCTACATAACTAATTAAATCTGTTTAAAAGTTTTAAGGCTTTCCAGCGATCTTATTGCTTTGGGAAGACTATTAAAAGTGCACCCACCATTATATCTAAAACTGCCTTGATATTTAGTGCTTTTGGCCAAAGATGTAAAACACATGCACTTCACACAAAGAGTAGCGAAGACATCTCTCAGTGTTGTGGTCCGACCTTTTGTCCAAATATTCCTGTATTGGGGGCACCTGCCGAAATTTCCCTCCAATGTAAAGTACTCAATGCAGTCTGGCCATAGTCCCCTGCAAAGTGTTATAAAGCCCATTAGAGCACTTATGATTTTGGAGAATACTCTTTAAAAATGCATCATTATCATTAGCATCATTCCTATCAGGCCTTAATCCCATAATGCAGCCTCTTTATTATCAAAGGCATACTCAACATCTTCTTACCCTACCTCCTAAAAGAGCAAAGGACCCACACCTCCAGATGCATTTGTTGGGACATGCACTCCTTCTTAATGTTGGTCTTCAAGATAGCATAGAGACATTGGCAACCAACAACATTGGAAAGGGGAGAAGGGTGAAAGAATATCTTAAACGTTTTCAAGGTGAAGTGTCCCAACTTATTATGTCAGGGAGTGTAGGTCGTACTTTGTAGTCAACTTTATAGTACCTAAACTTGCCTTGCTCTCCATACATGGTCTCCTAAAGATTTGCAATAAGCGGGACTCCACTTTGTTCCCAATGAAACAAAATAGCTGGTTAGGGAATCAAATGTTGAGCACAAGCTAACAGTACTAATTCTTCCTTTTGCCTAAATTTCAGGCTGCTGAAAAGTTGCCAAAAGAATTTGTAAGATTGTTTGTTGAGATAGATTCTAGCCTTTTAAAAGTAAAAGATAAAAATGGAAGATTACCTTCTGACCTGGTATCCTCCAAAGAACTTGCCTTGTTAAATATGCTTTAGCTACAAGAAACAAAATTGTACTGGTACCCAACTTGTTCTTAACTAGGTGTAGTCCATTCTTGAGATATGGAACTGCTTTTTCATGTTGGTTTTCATGAAGTTTCTTTCCTTTTTTTTTAAGGATTATAGACTACAGGCAGTCCCTGCTTTTCAGCAAAGTCAGTTGTGCAAGTAAAAAAGGAAAAAATGAAACCCTACAGTCGCGACATTTTACGGACGCTTAAACAACAGTTCCCCCCCCCCCCCCCAAAAAAAATTTGTCTTCCAAATGCTTGCATGACAACTTGAATTTCCCTTTGCATGTGACGACAACGGCGGCAGTTCATCTTTTGCGTGACAATATCACTGGGCAAGAAAATATGAATAGGTACAAATTTATCAAGGAAGAAATTTTAAAAAATGTTAAAACATTTTCAGGATTTGACATAAACGGATGCAAAGAATCAGATAAAATTTTTGGGCCCCTTCCTCTAGGTATGTTACAAACTTTTCGAAGATTGTGTGACTATCGAATCAAGTTACAAAACCTAATGAAGGCAGCAGCGGAAGTCGGTCCAATTATGTTGACGAGCAAAGCGTACCTTGATTCTTGATAATCATTGATTTTTTGACGTATAAATTTTTCCCCCTTCCAACAGCCATGTCTGTTGTCGGTTACTGTAAGCTAAAGCACCGGTGTACCAAGGAAATCAATTGGGAATCTGAAAGTGAGTGGTTGATACCTACTTACAAAGATCTTACTCGTGGTGGCTCGGTAGACGAGATCACAGACGTTAATTCGTTTCTCGCAAAACTGGAGGAGGGGAGTCTTCTTGGAATTGATCGTCTTGATGTATTGAAGGATCTCCTGAAAGAGATGGCAAAATGGGATCTTCTTCGAACGGTGGACGAATTTGAAATTAAGAGAAAGGACTACAAACAGTTTCTGGAGAGGATAAGTCGTGCACTCGACGAATCTAATGAACTGCAACGACTTATTTTAATCTGCAAAAGACAAAATCTGATAGCTCATGAAAGGGAAGGACACATCGCAAATGTCAATGAATTGTTCACAGAGCTAGAACAACAGAATAATCTGGGGATAGGAAACCTTAGTATCCTGAAAACCATGGCGACTGAAGTAGAGAGACCAGATTTGTGCAGACTTGTGGATGACTTCGATGAAAAGAGAAAACAAGAAGAGGATGGCGAGAGGAAAAGGGAAGAGTGGGAGCACTACAAACTAAGAGCACGAGGTAAGCGATAGTTTCCATCTGAATTCCTTTTTATCGACACAGTTTTAAAGTTCCTCGAGCAAACGTTTAGTCCTTATACCGGTAATCGAACATCGTCGATCAGATTTTGGAATCCTTAGTGTTATGTTAATTGCCAAACCTCAGTTTGAAGTCAGTTAAACCGATTGTTTGATGTATTGAGGACTGTTATTATCAGAAACTAAGCTAACGAAGAAGACGTGCTGGACTATATTGTTAATAACAGTGAATTGTCACTTTCACTTGCTTAGATGAAAACCAAGTTTAGACGTTCAGCCAAAATGCAATGGATACATTGCCAGTTGCGTAGCGAGTGTTTCTCTGCTTGATATTCCTGAGGTTTTACAAAAGGCTTTTTTGCTTAATTTTAAGCTCATAGCGTGCGTAGATGTGCGAACATCTTTGATTAAGTTATTGGCAATTTCATCCATGAGGGTACAATCAGCACCTTCTTGAAGGAATCGATAGAGTGTTGGTAAGATTTGTTTAGACAATATGGCGGGCAAACAAACATAGATTTCGTTCCCAGGCCCTCTTCTGTATTATTTTAAAAAAACAGTGAGACGCCGGTAAGGAGAATTTTGCATGTGAGATTTACATCCTCCGTCCAAATAAATGTAAAAACTTACTAGTTACCGCGGGATGAGACTCCAAGTAGTCAATAAATGCTTGAAATTTGTCTTCAGCTGCGTTTAAAACTCTGCCATGGACGTTGCTAATTTGAAAACCACCTTGTTGACCTGGTCACCCACGAAAAAACACTGCGGTAGTAGTTGAGTCGAAAGTAGCTTTTTGTTGCTTCTATTTGTTGAAACAGGTCTTTAAGAGATGCAAGGAGTGAGATTTTACCTCTCTACTGATCAGTTCATCCTTTACACTTTAAAATCAGCTTATATATTCTCCATTCTGTTCTTTATACATTTGCTATGGCACTGACAAAGGGGAATTTAGTCAACAATCAAGGACTTATTGGGTTTGCGATTATTCCTTTAATTCATGGGCCTAATGTTTTATTCAGCAGTGATACCTTAGTGAGACATTATATGATGTAGTCATCCTCAGGGGTTAAATAGTTAATTGACCAATGATCAGATGGCCCTGCTGATTGTAACTCTAAGCTAGGTACATGAAAAGTCTGCAATGAGGAGTATTTCATAGATCAATGTTCACGATTTCCCTCCCTTATTAATTCTTGATTAAAAAATCGATTTATTAAACATTCTAGCTCAGGTTGCTTCTGTTCTGGTTGGTGGAATAAACATTGGAGAAAGATTAATTGGAGGTAAGAGAGTGTATTAATTTATGTGGCCGAGTGACAAAGCCAGATTATATGGAACCTGAAACCTGAGACAGTACAACCTGCTACACAATGCGTTTACGAGGCTCACGCTGGTAAAGTCGTTGCATGATTATCGCATACTTAAGACCAATATTGTCACCCTTACCAGAATGTTAAATGCAAGGATGGGAACCAACATATAAATTTGCTCCAAATGCTGCTGAATAAACATGCAAATTGCTGAGTCTGGACTATATTTGCTTCAGTACCGTCCTTGGAAAACTCTCTTACCTTTCTTTTTCTGTGATCGAAAAAGAATACTTTATGTTTATAGTCCCTCCACCTCTCTTTATTCATGAGCTTCCTTGTCGTCTCTCTCAGTAACGCATAACTTTCGAAAACAACAAATGTAGTCTTTGCCGGGTTCTCAGTTTCTGGAGAAGAAGAAGCAAAGAAGCAGGAAAGCGAATTACGCGAGGAGTCTGTGAAGGAGTGCTATCCGTAGCCAACTCTCCCTCAAAGTTTGTCTCTTTGCCTAGCTCCGACTCCACGAGCGGCTAATGTAAACCCTATGATTTCTACATTTTCTACAGTTGTTACACCTCACTGTACTTACCGCAATGTCAATGGTGTTGCTGTGGTCGTCACTACATGGATGGTCCTTCGCAGGAGTCCCAACCTGGAAGCATTTGTTAATGCTTTCCAACAAGCTGTTCTTCCATTGGGAACTTACTTACGTGCACTTAGTGAAGGATCAACCCGATTTACGATTCAAGCAGAAAACATCTGTGCTCTGGACGTACTGTGGCGAAGTTATCAAGACGAAACGCTACAGACAAATTTACAAGAGTTTCTTGTTACTGAGGAAATAAAGCAGCTGGCAGGTGGTGAGGTGACATTGACTGTGCACATCGACGAGGATGAATACAGAAATTCTAGGTGGGATTTGATGATATCAGGAACGGAAGGTAATTACACCTTTAATAGTCCTGCCGTTGTGCATAACTACTTGTCCGGGATGAAGCAGAACCGTCTCTTGTTGTGTCTAATAATGAGAAGAATCACGGCATCTAGAAGATGTGATTTGAAAATTAAAGTTGTTCCGTTACGATCCATCTAATATTTTTCCTCGTATGCGATGTATTAAAAACGCGTCACGAGACTGAAAATGCACCAGCTCATACATAAGACTCCAGTTTTATTCTCTAGCTGATGTTTCCTAATTTAACTTTCCTTTCATGGATAACAGTGTTCGATTTAAATTGCATTCAATTTTGGCGCGAATGAAGAGACTGATTTGTGTTTTGACAAAGGACAAATACACGGTTAAATCTCTTTCCAAGTGAGGTTGGGGGAAGTTACCAAGTGAGTTTTCAGGAAAATTTTTTTTTTCATTTAGTTTTTTTGTTTCTTCTCCAAGACATCATGCACTACGCGTTATCATTATTGTGCACGAGGTGATTATATCTACATAGGCTAGAATTCCTTTGTTCTTATCGGAAGGGAATCGAACTCTATACTTCTAAATTATTTGATAGGTGCTCTATGTTCGCAAACGTACTTCCTCATCGTTAACATAAATTATTTTTAGTCCAGATATTTGGGTTTGCGGAAAGATCCATGGTCCAGGAATTGAAATTGTAGACTTGGTATATTTTCTCTTTCTCGGCCTGATCTGTCGCGTGGGTTTAAAGAATACCTGTGAATCACAACATCATTTTTTGTGCTTGTTTGGTCGCACGACAGATTGAGCTAGGAAAGAGTAGTTGCTCATAATCGATCAAAACGTGCAACAGGTTATTCATTCTCTTTACGCAGCTATAGGTTTTCAAATTGATTATCAGAATGACATCCGCAACTCCTCCGCGAAAACAGCCCTGTGAGATAAAAAGTGTTGACTTGAAACGGGTCGATATTACTATTTCTAAAACTCAGTCGAAAAGAAACTTTGAGTCGCGCTCAAAACTATAACTTCCAGATAACTCAAGAGTAAACATGACCAAAATCAAACATTTTCAAAATATGGTTCGGTTCATATTCTCAAGTTAGGTAGGCCTTAGAGAAAAATAAGTCAAGCCTACTTCGTTTGGATGAAAATCGATTTACTTTCGAGAAAATCAATAATAACTGAATTCCGCAAAATGCCGTTTTTGAAGATCAAAATTTCAGACGAATCTCGGAGCGTAGCGTCACAAATTGAAAAAAATTTGGATGGATAAAAAGTACATGCGTTAGTTTAGTTTGTTGTTTCTGGTAAAAATTTAGATGTTAGTCTTTTAGAAGTGGGCAAGAAAATTCTGGTCAGACCAGACAACAGGCTTGTGTTAAATTCGTCATTACACATCATCTACGCTCTGATATTTTGATTTAGCCAAGCCTAAAAGCGGAGCTCGCATATTGCCATAAGGTTTTGGACCCAGCTATATTTGAGGGGGATAGATCTCTGGTTATTCGGCTAGCTTCTTGGAGCAGATTACCAAATATCTTATATTACTAGTAGGGTTAGTTCTTTTAAAAGCCGCTGTTTAAAATATACAATATCCGCACACTTAATGCTCAGGGGACATGTATTTTACGCTAAGTCAGTGATGTGACGTATAGCGCTGGTACAATGATTACTCTAAGCGTTTCTTGAGTTTCGAGATACTCCGAAATGGTTTTATCAGCAAACGTAAGCTTTTTTGGACCACTGCCCGGAAAAGATAAAGTGAATATGAGAACGTGCTACCTGGGTCATAGTCTTACGACCGGGACGAGTAACTTCACAAGGCATGGTAGCCTCGAGGGAAGAAAAAGTATAAATATAAATCTGTGGAACGTTGGGTGGTAAGAAAATTAATTATGACTGAGGTTAGATTATTGTTTGCTCCTGTTTCGTATATTTAAGACTTGACCTAAGTTCCCGAAGCCACATGTAGACCTCATTTTATCCAGCTTAAAAATTTGATTAAATCGCGCTGAATCATTCCCAAAAAATTCTTTGGAGATCGAAAATAATTACATTTTGTCTTCCAAACGCCAGATCATCAGCCAATTATTTTGTGTAGCGCCGTTAAATGATGGGTTCCTTTTGACCTATTTATTATGTAGTTAGAGGTCGGTCGGATAAATTCAATTAGATTGTATAAATAAATCGTCAAAGATTACTCAAATTGCTGACAAAATATATTTTGATGCTTGTTTTTAAGGTTTGATACTTTTTATCGATCCAGGTTTTTTCAGTTTGTGACACGACGCTCCGAGATTCGCCTGAAATTTTGAGCTTCAAAAGCGGAATTCAGTTATTATCGATTTTCTCGAAAATAAAACGATATTCAGCCAAACGAAGTGGCCTGTGATTTATTTCCCATTGAGACTTACTAAACTTTGAAATATGGACGAAATTGATTTTTCAGCTGTTGCCACCAAATGATTGATTATTGGTAACATTCGCTCTTAAGTTTCACCCACCTTGTGGGTTATTTCTCACTAGCATATGATTTATTTCCCAGAGCTTGATGATTATCCAAGTAAGAAACAATGCTCAATGTCTCAATTCTCTATTGCAAATGATGTAGAACGCACCACTTCATTCAGCATTTTTGACCATAAATTTTAGAGATAAAACTTGAAGAAAAAAGAGGATTAAAAGATCGAGCAAGTTCTGATTCAGACCTCACGAAAGAACGAAACACGACCACAGCGAATCCAAAAGATCCTTTTCCAGAGGAGGAGTTTTTACCATTTGACAGAAAAGTGCGTGTAGAAGAATATTTGGAAAATCTTGAGGAGACCCTCAGCGAAATCATGCTACCGAGTGATAGCGGAGCTGAGACCTGGATTAGTGCCAGTTCTGAGTATGGATTTAACAAAGGTGAAAGTGATAGTTAGCCTCCACTGAATGATAATTCTTAATAAAATAGATATGAGTTGCCGAGAGTTGTAGCTCGACTTTCGCTAAGTTTTTATCATTGAATGTCTTTCTCTCTTGGCTTCGCGAGTCAATTGTAATGTAACCATAAATGTTGATGTCAGATACCCCAGTCTTAGAACCCTTGCTTCCGTGTTAATATTCTTGTTGGTTACCTGAGGAAACGCCAGAATCGTTGCATAACTGGCCATTTTACTTTGATGGTAGTTGGGTGTAAAGACTGTCTCGAAAAAATTTAGCCCAGGTATGAGAGTACATCCCCCAACACTCACTCGAACACGAAGGACAAAGTCGAAAAAGACGCATGTGACAACAAGTGTCGCAGTATCGTAACCTATGATGTCACCTCTTCCCTACTAACGCCAAACCAAGTTTGAAGGAAAGCAAGGCTCTTAACATCCTCTGGATCCAGCATGAAAGCTCATCGTGGCCAGTAACATATTAGGGTAACACTGCCTTTTCCACGTTGGCCATATTCTTTCATTAATTCAGCATGGATCTACAGACATTGAGTTCCTCATTGAACTACCATATACCTAGGTGATGCTTCTTCCCCAGAATTACAGAATAGCCGGGGCCTCGTCTTGTCTTTAACAAATTGACAAGATAAATGCTTTTGTATTGAGACAAGTCCATGAATTAAGGAATGTGTTTAGCAACAAACATAAACGAGAAATTGTTTTGTTCTTTTGTTACGAGTGTGAGACAAAGAGACAAGTGTAATAAACCACGAGGAATCGAGTCTCGGATATCTGCATTCCGAGGCTCAGAGCCACCACTGAGACTCTGTGGTGAGTTATGCCATGAAGTGGTTAGAAACTTAAACTTCTTCGATTTCTCTCCCGATCTCTTTATCGAGTTCAAAACTTATCATCTTTCTCATTCTGTTCATAAATCCTTAGGAGGAAGACTTGAAAAGCTCGACCAGGTTGAAGGTTTAATCAAAGATGTCATTGAGAACTGGAACAGCTTTCAGGAAGCATTCAGAGATGCATACCCATTCGAAGGTCGTACGATCAATAGATTATTTTCAACGAATTAATCATACTTTTCTACTTGATAATTTGATTAACTTTCAAAGCTGATACTATCACTGATGATACAAATTTTCTTTAAAAAAATGTAACACACGGACAAAGGGCTGTCCAGATAAGGGCTTAATACTGGTTTGATACTCTTGTGCAATAGAAATTTAGCGCCTCTTCTCTTTGTCATATTTCACCTGATGGTCACGTGTGGCTGTGAGTGATAATCGGTTGCTGGCTTTTAAGATCAGTTAAGAGGAGAGAAATTAATTCATCATCTTTATGTGATGTAAAGTGTTTAAAATAGCCTTTGTTTGTGTAAGAACAATAACATAATAAAAATTATTTATGTAGTGCTAATACTATAAATATATATTCAAAAGCGCTCTAAAATAAGCACTACCAGATTCACTCATCTATAACCCAGGTTATGTGTTTCTGGTACTACAAAATACTTAAATAAAATCTTTCTTGAAAAGAATCGTATTAAAGTTCTTAAAAACGGCGAGGCTTTTACAGATTCTAATCCATAAGACAGGAGTAGCATGAGTGAGGCACAATCCCCAAGTGTAGAGCAGTTGACTCTCGGAGCGAACAGAGGACGAATAGAAGAGCATAATTAGAAGCTGATGACAATAGATCTTTAATGTAGGGTGGACTAAGACTGTTTCACGAGTTGGAGACCATTCTGTTTGGTATAAATTTGAGACTAAGAAATATTACATCCTCAATTTTTTTCTAGGACGTAACTATCATAGCACAGGGAAAGAATTGAAAACGATCAGAATCACTCTAGGAACCCTAAGAGAGATGGAAGAAAAGTGGATGAATGCAGGTCAGTCTCTTAAAACCAAATGGTTGACTCTGGAACAGTCATCATTAGGAAATTTAAGGAGGGGACCTTATTATGACAGAGTGGCTATGGGTTATACAATGTGGTATTATGTACTTATCAATTAATTGGACGGGACTGACCGAGAGCTAAATATTTACACATCCAGCCCGACCAAACTTAGCCAATAAGCATTTTATCATATGACCACGAAGTTTTGAAAATGTCAAAACTTTTGTTTTAACCAAAGAGGATGTCTTTGTGTACAAAAGACAGGTGCTGGCTAGACAACTGATATATAGATACCTTTCTTTTTTTTCGAGGAGTCAGAACAAGAAACTCATAATTCATTAAGAAGTGCGACTCAATTCCTTACTTGTTTTATTTCAAGTTGAAGTTCACAATTTTAGGTCACGTTGTTGGAAAATACAAAATAGCTGTGATTTGGCGATTGATTTGATTAAACTTGCATTTCGCCTTTAAAAAAATTTGGCCTCATAGAATCAGTCGGCCTTTTATTGGAATAAATCTTCTGATTTTAAAACACCTAAAAGAGTAAACCTTTATTTAAACAAGTCATAAGCAACCATCAGATTTCTCTCAGACAGTTTCATGTCCGTATCGTAGTTAATTATTCTGTAAACGTAAATACTGTTTTTCCTTTCTTTTTTGTTGTATCATAGAACCTGTTTTGACATCGTCAAGCAGTGCTCAAGCTATTGTACAACAATTGGAAAACTCTCTACAGCTGGATCAAAGTTTTTTCAAAAATCCAACCACAGAGGACAAAAGAGCTATCTATGTCTTGGCAAGAAAAGCCAAAAACTTAAAAAGATTGGACTTGTTTAAGTACTTAAGAAAGATCACACCACCAGGAACAACAGGTTTGTTGTTTAATATCATTTCCTTAAATCCTTCTCAATACTTATTTATTGATTTTCTAGCAGTTACAACCATAATGCCTTGTTAACAAAATAGTCAGAAGGTCTTTAACATCGAACTGTCTTTAATCCGTGAAATTCACATAGGAAAAAATTTGCATAAAACAAGCAACAATTTTTAAGTTTGCAATACACTTTTGGATATTACTAGTGTCAGTTGCAAAATAATATCCTTGTTACAATTTGAATTTACATTTGAATATACGTCATCGAGTTACATCGTTAGATTACGCTCTACAGATTAGTAAACTATTTGAATAAAATACAACGGAAGTAGGGAGGGAAAGAATGGTATTTTGAAGTAACCCAGGAAAAGCCAAAACAGAAAATATTTTCCTTTAAACCAATCTCGCACTAGCTTGCTTTGAAAAGTTTTGAATTAAGGATAGACTCGGCGCGGGAACCATTTACAGACGGGAAAATTCTTTCCCTGGCATGGCCGTGACAGTAATTATCTATTCCTCTGTTTCCTTGACAACAAGCAGCCTCTGTTTCGAACTGGTCGTGGAGCGTGAAAGACAATCGCGATATTTACCAAAAAAGTGACTGTAGGAAAACTGGGCGACTGGTCTTCTCGCCTAACTACCTTAGAAAAAAGTACCAGTTGGGTAGCGTGGCCAAGGTTAATGATCTCGAAACAACCGCACCATAGTGTAATGAATTTATTCCGTTTCGCTCAACAACAGCTGAAGAGAGGATGTAAGTCTCAAAAACAACAAAGGTCAAAGTTGTTATCTACGCAGCTAAAAAACGCGAGCGAGAGGCAATAAAAGTGGTGAAAGAATCAACAATGATAATGAGGGGGGGAGGGGGGGTCCTCATGAATTCCGTAAATCATAGTTTGGAATCATTTGACTCGTGTGGTCGTGACTTTTTTACGATTCTACGTTTGTGTGTGAAGCCATTGAGTCAAAGTCAATATTTATTCCTAAGTCGATTCTTCTTTTCTTTCAGGTCCTCGGTTACCTGATGATATGCTCGTTGAGGAGATCCTGAAACGCAGAAAAAATTATATGTCAAAACGTTTGATAGGTAGGTAACGTTTTGTGAAATAGTCGTCCAATAGCAGCCCTTACAAGTAAATACGTTTGTACAGTGGCCTTATACATGTTCCAGGCTATTGACGTTCATGATTATTACAACTTTTTTCGAATCCAGCCTGAATTAAGGTGACCCAATTTACCAAGATGTGGCTGCTTCTGGCTGTGAAATTCCATTTGCGACCTCCTGGCAACCGGCTGAGAGGCACATTCACTTTGTAATCACTTTTATTGAACCAGTAAACCCGGAGTCACTCCGTATCATGTAATGGACCCCTTTGCACATGTTTTCAGTCTCATACTTTGTATCGCTTCTTTGTTTTTGTTCATCAGGAAAACAATAGTCGCGAGGCGTTTTGAAAAACTACATATCACCGAGAAAAAAAAAACTATCAAACTATAAAAAAAACCTATAAACTATAAAAAGAACTATAAAGTTTGGTCTTCTCGTTTAAATAATAAATACCGAAACAGCAGAGAAACTTCTGGTATCACTGGTGAGTCTGGAATAGCGTCTCTACTTTTACACCAACTCCACCAAAGTAGGTTGAGTGAATCAAATAGACCCATACTAGAAATGAAACCATACTGCAGATATAATATTCTTTTTCATTACAATGGTCCTCGAGTATATCCCTACTAGCAGTTCATAAAGTAGGTCAGTCATAGAACCGGATGGTCTAGTGGGCTTTGAATAATAAACAAGTCATATTTCGTGAGGCACAATTAAGGTGAATGTTTGTTTTCTTTATTTTAGGGAGATATTCCCGGGCTGAATTAATGGAAGTGGATTTGAGACCAAGAGACATGAGGTACATGGTGAGCACTTCCACACTGGATCTTGTCGTCATGCAATACGATTTACGAACAGTGGGTGAGCTGTATGACTTTCTATGTGAACAGGGGCTGCCTGAATTTGCCGATTATCTTTAAATATCTCAACGCTACCAGCCCACGAGGATCTCTCGATCTCGTGTTTTCTTAATCTATCCTATGAGATGATGAATCAGCCCACCCTTACCACAGTGAACTGATGATTTGCTGCTAAAGTCAGTCGTACTGATTTGCCCTGATTAACTATTTCCACCGACTTAGCAAGTTAGGTAGGGTTGGTTGTTATAAAAAGCAATGTTAGTATCTGAAGGTAATTTAGTATTGCACATCAATAAAGTTAGCATTGATTTCTCTCTCACTCGTGATTTACTTTAGTTTCTTAACGGACGCTAGAAATCATTACTTATAATTAGTATTGTAAATAGTGCTTGTCTTTGAAATGGTAGTAGCAAAAAAATTTCCGTTTTTACACGGTGTTTCCACCGGGTTAGAACTTTCAATTATTTTTAACGGATTTAATCAAACTACACTAACTAGGAATACCAGAAAATGCTACTGTAAAACCTGTTTTCCAAGGATACTGTGTATATTATATTGTACTAAAAAAACTAGAGGTTCTCAGTTTGGAAAATGAGTTTTCTCAATTTCAATTCAAACTCACCTGAAGAGTTGGATTGTTTGAGTTATTTGGAGAAGCTTTTCCATAGCACAATCCTGCTAAAGCTTAAACTTCGTTTACAGTTATTAAACGAGTATTATCTCTGACCCATTCATATCTAAACGAGCTGTTGTATGTTCAAACCATGGAGGTGCAAGAGTTTGTTTTCCAACCAGCAATTACCAAGTGCTAGTTCATGGACATATTTCACCGAAAAAAAGAAAAGTAATAGGCTTTCTTGGTACCCTGACATTCCGGTGAAAGATCTTTTCACGGATCTAATAGCTTCAATTCTCGACAAAATTTTCAAGACACCAACGACAAAACGGCTGAAAATGAAAATATTATTTAGCCAAGTAGGCAAGATCACGCCTTTATCCAAGCCGTATTAATTCATTAAAGCTGTAGTTCGTTTCAATATTGCTTAAAGGGTTGGAGAAAAGTTCAGAGAGTCGTAATTAGAATATATATAAATTTTTTTTTCATAATAGATTAAACACATATTTCATAAGGCCTTTTTCTCCAAACAAGTTTTGATCAGAATAGTACAATTTCGCTTGGTAGATAACAATAACTAAACTTCATTTTCAATTTTCATCAGGCGCAGTTGAATAATGTGCCTTGAGGCTTTTAGGTCACAATTTAGCAGAATTTGAATTTTAACATTGTGTTATCGGCATCGGCAAAAAGCAAAAAATCGGCCCTGATTTGCTCACTTTTCATATGTTAATCCTTATATCTATGACTATAAAAAATTGTAACGATTGATTCGCATTTGTAGGAAATAAAGATTAATTCTCGAACAAGTCTTCTCATGTGTTTGATAGAGAAATTAGTCCCCACGAATGCCAGCGCATAAAGAGAAGCGAGAGGGAAAAAAAATTGATTCCACCCCTCCCCTCATCGTCTCATCATCTTAAATGAGGGCTGCACGTCAGCAAAAAAAGTCTGTCGTCAAATTAGGCTTTCAAATGTTTTATTATCCAATCGTAGCTCTCCAGGCTCACATGGGTCGGTATATGTTGAGAAAAACCTTCGTCGAGACAAGTTTCAGAATGAACGCACTCATTAAGTTGCAGCCTAAACATGTAAAATTTCACCGCCGATAAAATCGGGAAACGTTTTCTTTCTTCTTCTACGAATTTGGTTGGGTTCTAATTGGAAAATTGTCAGTCGTAGATGTACTCAAAATTGGAGCGAGCCATTGTCTTTAGCCTAGACAGGAACTATGAAAAATGCGCCTGTCAAACTAAACAATGCCCACCATAGAAACATTAGCACTTGTAGATTTTTCCACGTTTGCCGCGAATTTTAAATGTTTGGATGCATCAGCTGGCCTTCCTGACCGTAACAAAAATGTTAGCGACAAGAGCTATTTCCGGTGCTTTTTAATGCTATATACATGTAAGTTTTCATCAGAGTTACATGGATCTTCAAAAAGTGTTTATTAGTAATGTTCCTGAAAATTGCCACAAACCTTACGTTGGATAATTCAATTTAAGGTCTTCCTTGATGGTAAATATATTTTAACTTTAAAAAGAATCTGTTCCTGCCTCTGAAAATATTTCAACAAGGATTTCGTTGTCATAGATACGATGCCGAAGTTTCAAAAGAACTTTTCGAGTTTTGTTGTATCTGAGTTTTAGGTAGTGACAAAAGGCAAAACCTACATAGACGTAAGTTTGTTATGTTGTTAAACGGTTTCCTCGATGAGAGCTTTACTTTGGACAGAAATTTGTTAACGAGCTCTTGAAGCATCGTGGAAGTGTTCTTAAAATTTTTTAATGCCTCAACTCCGAAAAGAAAAAAAGATGTGTATATGTACATACGGGGGATTATTAGCGACGACGTGACATTTTAACTGATTTTAAAATTTTCGGCGAAATTTTAGCATATATAATAGCCTTTGACAGAATCCGCTTTGAGATGCCACAGCTGATAACGATGAAGCGGAATGGCAGCTAATGACAGGTTGATTTTCATAAGAAAGTTACATAGGCGTCAAGCTTCATCAGGCATGCGCGGAATTATTCTAATTTCTTGTCTTTTATCTCGCTTATATCAGCTATTTTCGTTTCTTTTTGCCCTGACCTGTAAGAAATGTATTTGATTCTTTTAAACTTAGGGTCTGCCTATTCGTGGCTTAGTTAACGAGAGGTTTATAACAAAATATTATGGTTTGTCTTTATGTTGGGACAACATTGTTCCTCAGATATCCAGTTCGTTGGTGGAGATTGCCGGTGCATTTTACAAGCGGTATATGGAAAGCTCTGAAAAGTCAGTTGAATCGTTATTACAAAGAAAGATTAATTCTCAGCTTTTTTATGGGTTTAGATAGTTTACATAATTTCTCCAAGTCTCCATTCATTTCTGTTGAAATTTGAAAACGAAATTTGAGAAAGCTGCAAGATGCAGCTGTACCTTGATTTAGCAATTAAAACAACGACACTATTCTCGCATACCAAACACAATCTAGGCCGCCAACTAACGCAACGAAATTATTTCTGTTCTGGCCGTTAGCAGATGATATCGCGTTGTTCGGTTGCGTTGTGACACGTGGGTAATCAGTCGCATATATTAAGCTGTCTCTGTTCCCCAGATTCATCAAAAACGAAGGGAAAGAATGCAGTAGGGATATCCGCAGCGATGATAAGTCAGTATCTGGGTATTTTCATAAATAGGTTTTCACGCCAAAAGCGATGGAACACAGTCGAAACAAGTTTTGAACTCAGTAGAGGATGACAATTTGTTTGTGTAAAATTTCTTAAGTACTTGTCAGAAAAAATGTATTTCTTCATAAAAATGTTTAAATCACGCGAAGGGTATTTGAAAATCATTGGTTTTTCATTGTTAGGGCAATTGTTTTAACGCCAGAGTACAAAACTACTGAAAGCTGAAAATACGAAGCTCAATTATGCCGTTTGCCTTAAGAGTCATACTTAACCAGTCTATAAGGTTCTCATTTTTCAAAATTTTATTTACGAACAGAAATGTCTAATGAAATACAGTTTGCAAAGCCCAGCTAAAAAGTGAGATTGTCAAGAATTTTCCGCTATCGTAATCATTTTACCAATCACACTGGCTCACTTTACATTTGATGCCAAAATTCAACTGTTGCGTAAGTATTACTGAAGGCAGATAAGAAGAAGTTCCACTTCTGCAGTTTGCCTTTCACTGACATCCACTAGATTTATTGGAAGCGAGTATCCTCAGAAGTAAAGATTAAACTACATTTTGAACGAAATGTAGATAAAGCTTGCTTTTTGTTGGCTCCGAAATAGACTACTTTATTCCTCAGCTCTGACGAAGGGCTAACGCTAGAAACGTCAGCTTTGAAACTCTTAACGGTGACCACTTTACGATACCAACTCAGTTGATAGAATCAAATTACCTTTTTATATTCTCCCACCGACGCAGCGCCACAGTTTCTGTAGAAACCTACCCCCTTAATTGCCAACAAATTGTTCATTAGTAGCCAATCAGCACCATATCGACTGCTTTATGAAAATGCTTCCTCTAACGTTTGCTCCTTTTTCCCCCATTTTCACAACAACAACAGGCGATTATCATCTCAAGTACAAGAAGATTATCCAGGAAAAACTATGCTAAAACCATTTGCAGTATTACGTAGGCCAGTTGTCGCTGGATAGGAACTCGAATTTCTAGACTGAAGTTATCCGTAAAGATTTCTCCTTTCTCCAAGAAGAGGAAATTTCGGTCAAGGACTCCCTATGTGACTTTTGTGGTCGCGTCACATTATCGCCTTCAAATTATATTTTTGCAAATTAGCTGCCTTCTGACAGCTTTTTTTTGAACATTTGTCTTTCTGGGGTCCACTGTTCTTGTTTATTGCAGAACAGCAAACTAGTTACCGAGTAAAGGGAGTAAGATTCAAAAGAAACGGTGGTGCTGCATCGGTGGAAGAGTATATCAGGGTAATTTAGTATCATAAACTGAGTTGATAACGTAAATTGGCCACCGTAAAGAGTTTAACAGCTGACGTTTCGAGCATTACCGGTAGTCCTTCTTCCGCTCAAAACTTCAACTTTAAAACTCTTGACGGTGGCCAAATTTTACATTATCATCTCAGTAGATAATACTAAATTACCTAGTTAATGAAAAAACTGGTCCAGTCTCAAATCACGTCATAACCTATCAGTACATATATCACAAGTTCATGATATCTGTTGCACTATCTGTGATTGTGATGATATTTGTACTTATTCTGTAATGTCTTGATTGCCTGTGCCTTGCATCAGTGAAGGAGGCCCAATGTTACCATTGCCTCCCTCTTTATCTTTGTCTAAATTAACACGAAAACAAATTAATTGAATGTTCTCTTAGATCTTTTACACCCTATCATCAGTATGTATATCCTCCATACTGTTCTCTACTCTTTATAAGGTGTTGACAAGAAGAATTTGTTCAACAATCAAGAGCTCTTTTAGTTGGTGATCATTTCCTTTATTATTGGATTCAGGGGTGACATTGGAAGGAGAAATTAGATGCTATTTACTCTTAAGTGTCAGGGGTTAACATCCATTTGATCCAGTTCTTAGCATATGATGAAGGGCTTGTGCATACTATTGCAATGTATTAGGGTGAGTGAGTCATGTTCAGGAAGCACCTACCATTCAAATAAGCCTTAGTAATTGATCCACCAAGGGCGGCATCAGCACTGTTTAAATGGAGAAACATTAGAACATGATTTGACATTTTTGACAGCTTTAATCTTGTTCAACCAATCAGATTACTTGAACCACTCTAACAAGGTTTCTGATCCGCTCATTGCAGCGTGCTTAATGAGAGTATAGGGTATGCTGACGACACCGTTTTTTTCGCTTTGAAAATAAAGCTTGTTTCGAAAATTGAAAGTAATGCGTGGGGATTTGAGTTATTCTTTATAATAAAGCAAATAGAGAAGCCTTGACTGTGCTCTTTTCTGTTATAAAGCACTTAGGAAGCGGGTAGAGTACTCAAACTCGTGTTTCTTCCTACACTTCTTTCGTGCTCTAGCACGAAAGAAGTTCAGGACTGTCACACAATCTTTGATGAGTTTGTATTGGATTGATAAGATTGTCACACAATCTTTGATGAGTTTAACCGAAATTTACAACTTGGGTCTAGACTTGCAGAGGTTTAGCAGGTTCTTTGTATTTATTTCAGATCCTGAAAATATGATTGTTTTCCAATTTTCATTGACCAATTGTTATATTTTAGGATTTGAAAATCAAGTGAGTTATTCCTTCAGGTTATATAAGTAACTTAGTCAACTTCTGAACACCATCTGAAGTTCATTTCCGGTAACGCGGTAACGGATTCATTTAAAATTTTGGGTCTACCGCCTAGAGAATGCTCCTTCTGCAGCCTTTTGAATGCAATTTCTCTTCGCGTAAAAAAATTTTAAATTAAATTCTTACGATGATCACGTAGGTCTTGTGACGATAGGTTTCTCTCCCCAAACTGGGGAACTGACTCTTCGCGGACGGAACAACAACAACTGGGGGAAATAACTCTGTAGAGACGACTCGGCAGCGAGAACGGAAACTCGTCACGATTTCCTGGTACACGGAGATCTACTTCGAGCGAGCTTATACGGACGTCAAGGATAAGACAATCTTTGGTTCCACGGTACTTTTATTCTAGGTCAGGCCAACAAGCGACATGACCTCTAACATACTCTAGTTTGTAATCATCAAAGCTGTACAAGGTACTTGCTTAAGAAGTAACTGGTGCGAAGTGCTATTGTTACACAAATCGCAATATTTGGATAAGGACACAAAGGAGCGGAAAAAAGTCTCTTTGAAGTTAAACGAAAACTACTTAAATATTCCATCTGTTTCTACGACGGAAAGTATCTCAAAATTAAAAAGACGGATGCAATAAACTCTAGGCCATTAAAGTAGGAAACCTAGGTGCGATTTTACAGCTCTGATATAGAAAACAATACCTATCTTAATTGCAGTAGCGCAGCTCAGGAAATAAAAACGAAAAAGCAATTAAAAGTTTCTGCTTATTTATACAAGATTGGTTTGGAAACCATTGCATGAAAAGAAATTAGATTTACGCGTTTAAACTCAGCTGCTATCTACCATGAAAACCAATGTTTCCAGAAAGACCATTAACACTTATATTTACCTAAAAAAAACCCATGTACTAGATGACAAAAGTGCCGACAAGCAGGTGCATAGTAAAAGCGAGTAATCGATAAAAATCCATTCTAAAAGCCACTGTGGGTTTTATGCATTTTTTGATTTATTGAAATGAAAGGACTTGAAATGGTTAAATGTGAAAGTTTACGAATAAATATGTTCCGAATAACACACACGGGAAAATCAGTAAATTTTCCCGTAACAGTCTGCTTCATTTTGCTTAACTTCATGGGAAGTAATTTTCGAATATCAGTTCGGCTACTTATTCCCACAAGTAAAAGACAAGAACGATCCTTGTAAACATATCTAAGACGGGTATTTCTATTTCTAATCTTGGTTGCGAACCAAATCCGTACGGCTATTTGGCCACCTTCTATCCATTGATACGTGCCAACCTATCAGTAACAGACCAGATGCTTTAGGAAAAAACCTCTTTCTGACACGTCTCATCACTTTTTCGCCATTTTCATTATCACAACTAGCTAGCGATGATCGTCATAGTTACAGGTACACATAGTCTATATGGTGTTTTTTGTTTTGTTTGTTTTTTTTTAACTTTAAAGGAGCATCAGAGCTGATTACCTCTTTGAAACATAGTCTGAGTCATCTTTGAAAAATCTATTTTGATTAATCTCAACACTAGCCCGGCACTTGACAAAGATAAAAAGGTTGAACTACCCTAAATATTAATAACAAGATTTGATCCTCACTTTTTTAAAGATAAAATCAGTTGCGATGCCCTGTGACTTCATCACAATCGTAGTTTACGACGAATTTTTTTTAAAACGTGTTCCTTCTCCCTTTATATGAGGCCCCTTACCCTTTGAGAAATCTAAAGTTATTGACCTCCCTCCCCTTGTGAGTCGCCAGCCCGGAAGGCTATCTACACACCCACCCTCCAAAGAGATTACTCCAAAGAGGATTTGTTGGAGAGAATGGTCAACAAATTTAGTTTTTTGAGCTAGAGTTATTTTATGAACTGCTGTAGAAACACCCACAAAAAAAGTCTGGTTGTTTTACGTGTTTGAAATTGGACAGACTGCAACGTACCAGCTAAAGTTTCTTGTAATGCAATTGCAGCATAATTCTCTTATTTTGCATATTTAATTTCAAGTATCCGTCGCTAACAGGGATCAACTGGCATTATTGGTCCCTCCGTGATTTATAAAAATCTGATATTCTGATGCAACTAGGTTTTCTAAGACTCAGAGAAACCTACATCAGGAATAATCCTTTGAAGTTATCTTGAACACTAAAATACAGTCTTAATTACTCTAATCGGTAAAGGATATAACATCCCTAGCTTACTAACACATATAAGCTCTGTGTAGCAAACAAGTACAATAGAAAGTGATCGGATTAAAGATTTTATCAATGACTGTTGCTTCAAAAGGCCACAATGCTCATATGGAGTCAGCGAAAGTAGATTCATCGTCTACCATGGACAGAGATATCCATACACAATAGTAGAGGCCACTCACAAAAGATCAGCTGCTTCGGGCAACCCAAGTTCAGTCATCAAGTCATATAGTGTTTCAACTCTTACGGAGCTCTTCTGGCCCACAAAACCGAGCACAGCTTCCATGGGGTTCAAAGTACGCTGGTCAAGAAAGCGAATCTCTCTTGGGGTCAAACCCAAACCATCAGCAACTATTTTCCACTCCTCACCACCTAAATGACAAAAAAAAAAAAACAACTAAGCAAAGGAGAACCAAAAAAGACATGGACACTAAAACAACAAAAAAGAAATAAACCTTAAATAAAATAAAGACAACAAGAACCATTGCATCAATCACACATTACAGTGAAGATCATGCAACTCATTTATTAATGAATAAAGGGGGTAATTTTCGAAAGAAACTGTGCTACTGCGTAGGTGGGAGAGTATAATAGGGTAATTTACACACCTTTCCCTACATCTAGGCATCTCTAAAACAGAATTTATCTTCCAAATCGGCACACTTAATCCCCTCGGTATCAACGAGCGCTTTTCGTTCAAATAATCTATTCTTGTTTTCTCGTCACAATAGCGTAGCTCCATTTTCTGCGTAGAAACCCACACACAACCCACAATTCCTCCAATCGTTCTCACGAAGAGCTAACGCTCGAAACGTCAGCCTTAAAACTCTTTACGATGTCCAATTTACATTATCTACTAAGTTGATAATGCTGAATTACCCTGTTATACTCTCCGATACAGCACCACATGTATGTATATATGTATAAAGGTGCACCGCGCCAGGAGGATCAATAAAGATTCGCAGTCCAAACCTTACAGCAAACACGAACGTAGCGAAAAAAATTCGAGGATGGACAACTTCTGACGTAAAATAGGTAAGAAATTTAAAGAAATTTTTTAACGTCAGAAGTTGTCCATCCTCGCATTTTTTTTAACTCTCTCTCTCTCTCTCTGTATATATATATATATATATATATATATATATATATATGTATATATATGTATACATTTGTCCGCGGACATTATCTATTCTCAGACGTACAGTTTTCCTGGAATAAAGCTCTAGGAAAACTGTGAGCTCAGATACACGCAAACATATAGATGCACATACGTAGGTACATAGTATTACATACATACATACATACATACATACATAAATACATACATACATACATTTGTACCAATATACATAGATGGATGAATAGATTAATACATAGATACATAGATACATAGATACATAGATACATAGATACATAGATACATAGATACGTAGATACGTAGATACGTAGATACGTAGATACGTAGATACGTAGATACGTAGATACGTAGATACGTAGATACGTAGATACGTAGATACGTAGATACGTAGATACGTAGATACGTAGATACGTAGATACGTAGATACGTAGATACGTAGATACGTAGATACGTAGATACGTAGATACGTAGATACGTAGATACGTAGATACGTAGATACGTAGATACGTAGATACGTAGATACGTAGATACGTAGATACGTAGATACGTAGATACGTAGATACGTAGATACGTAGATACGTAGATACGTAGATACGTAGATACGTAGATACGTAGATACGTAGATACGTAGATACGTAGATACGTAGATACGTAGATACGTAGATACGTAGATACGTAGATACGTAGATACGTAGATACGTAGATACGTAGATACGTAGATACGTAGATACGTAGATACGTAGATACGTAGATACGTAGATACGTAGATACGTAGATACGTAGATACGTAGATACGTAGATACGTAGATACGTAGATACGTAGATACGTAGATACGTAGATACGTAGATACGTAGATACGTAGATACGTAGATACGTAGATACGTAGATACGTAGATACGTAGATACGTAGATACGTAGATACGTAGATACGTAGATACGTAGATACGTAGATACGTAGATACGTAGATACGTAGATACGTAGATACGTAGATACGTAGATACGTAGATACGTAGATACGTAGATACGTAGATACGTAGATACGTAGATACGTAGATACGTAGATACGTAGATACGTAGATACGTAGATACGTAGATACGTAGATACGTAGATACGTAGATACGTAGATACGTAGATACGTAGATACGTAGATACGTAGATACGTAGATACGTAGATACGTAGATACGTAGATACGTAGATACGTAGATACGTAGATACGTAGATACGTAGATACGTAGATACGTAGATACGTAGATACGTAGATACGTAGATACGTAGATACGTAGATACATGGACACATAGATTCATAGATACGTATGCCCAAAATAGATACATAGATATTTATGCATTCACCTGACAATTCGACTGTTATTTCTCTCCGTACATGAAACGGAATATCGGGAAGAAGCAATCTGTCAAGTAACCGAGGACCTTTGAAAAGAAAGCGTGATCATGAGATTTAAAACAAAACGTTAACTTCCCTCAATGAGCCTGATAAAAATTCAGAAAATAAAAAATTAAAGGTTAACATCCAGAATCCGTTATGGATGTTAGACTATTGACCCAGCCAACAATAAGACTTTTATCAGTGTCTAAATTTCCTAGTTCAGTGCTTATGACGAGCATTTCAGTTTTTGAGGTGGAATTTCTAAGGGAAATCCAAAGAAATCAATCTATTCATGCGTTCAGAATCCTACTATCGATGTCGAAATTTTCGAAACCAACTCAGTAACATATAGACGTAAAATATAGCGATACCTTTCTTTTGGAGTCTTCATGACGCCATTGTCAAGGTAAATGTTAGGATAATGAATTCTGCGAGTATTAATAACTACAATAAATATAAATAATAATGAATGCAAGATTACATTACAGATATACTTTAACACTGACTGAGTCGATTGCACTTTCAGAGTTGGTTCTAGTTTTTCTGATAACACCTCATACGCTAAACAATCGCATTTATTTTTGCATTTCTTCAGAACATCGAAGCGCCTCAGTAGGTCTTCAGGGACCCCTTGCCTTGTTTGTCTTGGTAGTGTTTATAGCGGAGCACGCAGCGTAGCCCCGTAATTATGGGAATTAGCAGTAACCTAACCAATACGAAAGCCGAGGAGGGACCTCCGACTTCTGACTTCCGACTTCAGACTTCAGACTTCAGACTTCTTCAGACATCAGACTTCTTCAGTCTTCAGACGTCAGACTTCAGACTTGGACAGGCGCGATTGTGTGTGTAACTTGGATACCCCATTCATGTGCGCCAGGAAACACGGGCAGATGACAATGAAGTGCGCATACTCGCGTGTCAAAATTTGGTGCAGTGTACTACAGGCACATGGTTAGGTATTACACAAGGGCTTCACGTTGGCTAGTAGATGTAAATGTGAAGCAAAGCAAATAATGAGCAACCCGCATTTTAAGCGGGAAATCAAATTGGTGAGGTTGTTGTTGAACAGTAAATCTCAGAATTTTGCAATTTTTAATCAACTCGCAAAGCAACAATACCGGCAGAGCTAATGCTTTGTCCACCACAGGAAATTGATATAATTCAAGTTCCTGGGGAAATGGTTTTGATTGAAAATAAGCTGGAAAGAAAGCGACAGAGCAACCAAAGAAAGCAAGAAGTAAAAGGCGTAAGATAAGTTGAGAAAAACGCGAAAGAAAGTTAGAAAGAACCCTAAAATAGGCAGAATGCGAAAGGAACGCGAAAGAGAACAAGAAAAGGTATAAGTAAAAGGCAAATATCTAGCGAAGAGCAACGTGAGTAAGAAATACAAAGAGCTCCAGAAAACAGACTGAAAAGAGGTCATGGACAAAAAGAAGGGAACTACAAAGGATTCAAGAGAGAAGAGGAGGTAAATAGTGTGTTATCTGGGTTTTCTCTTACGGTAAGGCCCACGAAAATTGAAAGGTTCTTTTACCAATTGTCGTTTGATACTAGCTTAAGTTTATAGTTTAAATCACGTTTTGGTACCGCTTTAAGATCCCTCGTGCCGGTTCATCGCTTCAATAATATTTCAAAGTGTTCGTATGCTTTAAGTTATTTCTTGTCCAATCGTTTGGAATGTTTAATACAGTCGTGGCGTTAAGGAAAAAGAAGTTATCTGACAGATTATATTTTGCCTGGAAAGTTTCAAAATGATTGTGAACGGCGTAAGCAAGTTTCTATCACTCTATCTTCAGTTAACTATCGCAGGGTTAACTTCAGTCATTTAAAAGAATCGTGCTCTGTCGTTCTTTACCCTACGAACGAAGTAATGGCCTTTCCCAAATTTTTCATTAAAGTGAGATTGAGTCAGCGATGTTCATGTTTACATTAAGTCTGACGCGGTAATTTGATTTTGACAATATTGTCATGCGAGATCAATTACTGACCGCTAATATAGGCTGCAAACATATATATTTGATTCACCCTTCAAGGGGGAACGTTAAAATAAAACTGCTTTTACGACCGTGTTTTGCACCCAGTTTACATATGTATGTAGATAGTAGTCAATGTACAGTATATAATATAAGATAATATAATAAAAAGTAATATTATTCGTTATGTGATGTGATCAGTCACGCTCAATAGAATATTTTTTAAACTAATGCTGAAATCATATACTTCATCTAAAGAAGAAACATTCCCTATCTTTGAAAATTTGCTCTAAACATCAGGAACAATAACGAAGGTCCTCAGCTGCCTGAAGATACCGCTGACTAACATGCGTGTTGATCGCTTTGCAAGTTGTGAGAACATCTTCCCCAGGTTCTAGACCTCGTTAGTCCACGAGATATTATTCATCAGTGAACTACTTAGGGAACTAAAACCAATTCTGAAAGAACAATCCGACTAAATCCGTGTCAAAATATTTCTGTGATTTAATCTCGCATTCTTCAGCAAGTAAATCTATTGCAGAAATCAATAGTTACAGAATTCAATATTCTAACATTTACCGCGACAATAGCGTCATGAAGACTCCGAAACGTCGGTTCATATCGCAATTTTCTCCGTGTTCACTGCGCAAGCTTTGGAAAGTAATACACTTACTTGAATCGTTCTATAAAGACTGGAGTGTTATGACCACGACAGTCCCTAATGTGGGGTCTCGAATAATGTCTGCCATACCTTAAAGCCATCTTTAAGTGTAACTAAATCGAAGACCAAAAACGTGACTAAACTACAACCAAATGAGAATGTGTTTTCTCGTTACTGGGAAATTAAACATTTTTTTTTGAGAATTCTCCAAATTCTGAGAAAGTTTCAGCCCGACGAAATGTTCGGGTAATTTTTGAAGGACTCGTTTCATTTCCACCAAAATTTTCACCCAAACGAAGAACAACTATTTTTCTATTGAACTGACCAGGGATCTCCTCTCTTGATTCTTGCCACGTATAAATCTTTTCTCTGCTGTTTTCCAATTTTCGCTTCGCTGCTGTGACACTGGATTTCAAAACAGCTATGGGTAGAATATGGTTAAAATTTAATTTCAAAAATTTTTAATGTTTAGCAAGTTCAAGTTCGAAAAACACTTCACTACAGAATGCCAATAATTTTTCCTATCCCTTTCGTTCCAACAGCCATTTGAGACTGATACCTTGTTCTTGTACCCTCTGATGGCCATCAGGTTCATCAGCCATCAGATACTAATACAAAACCGCAGCTGAAAATGTCAAACTGTAAACGAATTATAGTATCAATCCACAGAGCAATTAGTCGATGGTTATAGAGGAAAATTAAACATTGAAGTCTTGTGTTCAGACCTAAATGTGATCGTGATACATTGTGCTAATACCAGCTTTACAAAAAGGCAGCATTTATAATAAATATCATTAATCAAAGAAACAATCAATTAAATGACCTTCAGTTGACGATGTTTCCCTCAGATCTGACAATGCGCAGTCCAAAATTTCAATGGCATCTGTTAGCAGTGCTTCGGTGTGGTTAAGTTTTTCATGTCTGCTTTCTGTGGATCAAAAAAAATTCATCTGGTGATTCTTCCTGAGTGTCATGATCGGGTTGAATCTTACAAGAGGCCTCCTCGACTTTTTAGCAAGTGAATTTATGAAAAATATGAGTTTTTAAACCAATCACAATCGTGGAAATTGTAATTTTTATGATCAATCAAAGAATGCATATGAAAGCGTACCATTTAAGACGTTTACGCCGTTTTTGTCATCTTCTTCCGAACTAACTAAATCGTCATTTACAACATGAAAATTCTCTATGAAATTTTCAAACTTTGTAATGAGGATTACTTCCCTAATGCCATTTTTTCCCCATAACTCTCAAAAAAACGTCGCATTCTACTGGCTGGGTGCGGCATTTGTTGTGGGGCGGCTTAAATCCAATTAAATACGATATTTCTGCCTAAAATAACGTTTATTTACTGAGACCTAACTTTTTCCCACTGCCAAAGAAATTATTAATAAAGATATAAAGCAGGACAACTTATGTCTGCTGATACGATTACCCGTTCTAATATCTTGAAGCACTTCCTGTATAACATGGTATTCTCTCGCTATAACTTGAGACCGAGTTCATGCCAGAGACAGCCTTCGATCTATGCTTGTTCATAATGAAAAGTTTTCTAGCATCTTCAAGAATAAGTAACATGACAAAAAAGGCCTTCTAACAGCAGAAAATTCCTTTTAGAACCTTGATTTCATGCTAGGATTCCATTCCTTATCAGGGAAGACATCATAGGGGTCAATGAGCCTCGATAGCATTAAAGTTCTCTCTAATGTAGAGTGGGGAGTGGTTTTGTCAATAGTTATGGAAAAATGTTACTAGTGATTTGAATTGCACGTTCGAGGAAGATGTCGCTCAGCGACATTTTACTCTTGGGTGACTGAGTGTTGGTGATTGTATCACAGTAGGGAGGGAAGTCTCAAACAAAGAAACATATGTGAAATGGCACATTTACCATGAAGGAGAAGCGTCACTTTCGATGTATGTAGACCCTTGTGTATATATCTAGTGTCTATTCCAGCTGTATCAGAAGCTATCTTACATAAGATGAACTAATATGAGTTAAGCATCTGATAAACAAGGAGAACAAGTTGTTGGAACAGAGCAACAAGAATGAGTACAAGCATGAGAAAGAGCAAAAGCTACGTTTCTGTTTATTAGTCAACTATTACTGATAACTTCAGCGATTCCATTGATCCAATGGAAGCTCACGCTTCATATCAAGAAAAGAAAAGAAGACTTAAAGCGTCATATAGGCTTAGTGAAATTTACAAAGACATCAAGCAACGGCGTGACATTTTCATAGAAGTGACATTTTTTCGTGGTATATGAAGACACAAAAAAAACAACATTGGAGTGAGTGAATAAGAGAGCAACACTTGTCTCAGTTTGTCACCATGGCAACCAGCTTGAATACTAACAATAAAGCAAGGTTCTTCTGGTTGGGTTATCTGATAAGAGAACAAAAGGGAGGAAAGGAAAATAAATCCTCAAACCTCAGTGGTATCAGATTTTGAACGTTTAGCAACTTTTTACACATTCGCTTACGCATTGACATATGGGGGAGATCTACTATTACCTTCAGCGCCTTCTTTGGATCTGCTTTCAGTGAAAGCACAACTCCAAGTACCTACTCCGCTGTCAGCCGTTCGCGAAATCGTGCTTTGATTCTCTGGCAGATCTCCCAAGAATTCTTCAACGCGTATTTTTCTCTCATATGACATAAACTCCCCAACATGAACAAGATCTTTTCCATTCTCAGAATCCACTCCTTGCATTCTTGAGAGGTCTGAATCAGACCTTGCTCGATGTTTCAATCCTCCCTTTTCTTTGCCTGTCAGCTCTAAAAATATTTCGTGAGAAAATGACTCTGCATTATTTGGCAGTCGTGTCCTGATAGCATTAGGAAACGAACAATAATTTGTCATATATTTAAGAGGATGATCATTATGACCATGAAAACTGATACAATGACTTCACCCAGTTGACAAATGATGGTGGTAATATACTTTTTCAAGGAAGAGGTTGAGTACAAATCGCAATGGCCTCGGTGCTTGAAACTCACCTCTTTAGTAATAAATACAGCAACCTTGAGAGATTGTGGTTCTGAAATTTATTTAAGAAACGCCGGTTACTCGTGTCTTCTGTACCCTAGGCCTCGAACCTTAGCAAGATGTTTATTTTAGCATATTCCTTTCTCATAAGTAATGGGGCGCGAGAAAAATTTATGTTGAAGCTTTTAATGATAAATACCTTCTCTTTCTGATACCATCAAATCCCACAGAGCATTTCTGTATTCATCCTTGCTGATGTGCACAGTCAACGTCACTTCACCACCTGCCAGCTGCTTTATTTCCTCAGTAACAAGAAATTCTTGTAAATTTGTCTGTAGTGTTTTATCTTGATAACTTTGCCACAGTGCCTTAAGAGCTGACATACTTTCTGCTTGAATTGTAAATCGGATCGATCCTTCACTAATTGCACACAAGCAATTTCCCAATGGAAGAACAGCTTCTTTGAAAGCACTGACAAATTCTACCATGCTGGGACTCCTGCGCAGGACCATCCAAGTAGTGACGACCACAGCACCACCAGCAAGATTGCGGAAAGTACAGTAAGGTGTAACAACTATAAAAAGTGTAGAAATCACAGGGCTTACATTAGCCGCTTGTGGAATCCACCGAAAAAGCACAGCTAGGCAAAGAAAACAAACGTTTGGGGAGAATTGGCTACGGAAAGCACTCCTTCATATCTCCAGTAACTGAGAGCCTAACAAAGACTAGATTTGAGTGGACTGCTATTTTCGAAAGTTATACGTTACTGAGAGAGACGACAAAGAGGCTCGTGAATAAAGAGAAGTGGATGGACCATAAGCGTAAGGTATTCTACAGGTCTTGCTCTGTGTGAGCGGGTTTTATTGTCTCGGGTTTTAAGTCACTCATGATTAGGCTCTGCTTCTCAACAAGATTAATTAACACTGTCTTACCTCCTATTAATCTTTCTCCAATGTTTATTCCACCAGAAAGAACAGAAGCGGCCTGAGCTGGAATGTGAAATAGATCCATCATTGAATTAATAATTATAACATTCCGCAGGCGCAAGTCTTACTTAACTCCTACGGAGCAAACGGGTAAAAAGATCTTTATGAGCGCACGACCTTGCATAGATATGATGACGAAAAAATTTGCAGTTTTACTTGCAAATTCATGCTGCAAATTTCCGTCGAGTTTAGCCGCGAGGTTTCAAACCTTTCAAAATTAATTTTCCGTTCTATCCCGATTGAGATATACCTTTTGGAGCTCAAAATGAAACGTAAATATGCCGAACAATATTTTTTTCTAAAAACGATGAGAATTAAGACCTTTCAAGCGACGAAATTAGCTTTAGAGTTAACGATAAGTTCGTTCCCAAACTTAATGCGAATTACGGCTGAAAAATAACAAAACGATCTTTCTGAAATCAAGTGAGGCATCCCGGCGAGGGGACAATTCTGTAGGAAAATAACTAGTATTCAAAGTATAATATATATCCCAAAGTGTTGTTCAATAAAGATTTTGCTTTAAATCGTAACATTTTTCAGAAGTTTCAACGCAAACCCTCGCAATTTTCTTGTAAATTCTAGTAAACAACAATTCAAGTATGGTGAATAAACCATGCAGGTTTAGTAAACGTCAGAAATTCGCAACTTATACCTGGCCCTTCGATTTTTCGAAAGGTGAATGTAAATGTTAAATGTTGATATGTCCTACAAGTATTGTTCAATAGAACATTTTAATTCTAAAATGGTACAATATCAGTTAAAGGCAATTAAAGACAAATTTCAAGCATTTTTTTACTCGTCGGAGTCTCATGCCGCGGTGACTAGTAAGTTTTTGTATGTATAGGCACAGAAGGTGTCAAAATTTCCTGCTATCTGGAGCAACCCTCTCTTGCCAGCGTCTCGCCGTTTTTTAAAAGAACACAGAGGAGGCCCTGGGAACGAAATTAAAGTTTCTTCTCCCGTCATAATGTCTAAACATGTCTAACCAGCACCCTATCGATTTCCTCAAGAAAGTGCTAATTGTGATAAAATAAAAAATGACAAAAAAAAAATGCTCGCATGTCTACACACTCTGTGAGGTTAAAACAAAGTAAACAACGTTTGTAAAATGTCAGGAACATCGAACAATTTATTGTGGCTGAGCGACTTAACTTGGTTTCCATCTGGGCAAGTGAAAGTGACTTCTTACTCGTATTTACAATAAAGTCCAGCATGTCATCTTCGCCAGCCTAGTTACTGATTTTACAGCTCTTAACACTTTCTCAGACAGTCAGTTGAACGAACCTAATAACCTGAGGTCTAGTAATGAATATAACGCTCAAGATCCTAAAAGGACTAAAGTTTGGTCGAAAAACTTAAAAACTATTTCGGAACTAAGTAATTCACCTTTTGGGCTTTAAATTTCACGTGTAGTGTCACGTGACCTGATGTAAACAAAGCCCGAAAGTTCGGACACTGAGTCGAGCTCGCAGCACATGTGTCCAAACTTCGGCTTTGGAAATCTTACTTAAATAACTGCCCACTTTCAAAAAACGTTTCTTCGCTCAAAATTGACATCTTTCTTTTATCATTTATCTGATCGTTTATCAAGCAAGTCATTTCGCTGCCGTTGAAGCAGATGCGAAAAATGTTACAGGAAACGTTGCGGCACAGAATAATCGAACTAGTTCTGCGTATAATTCTACAATGATGTATTTGATCAGGTATTTTCAGGGTGTTTAGTGCGAAGATTGTCAAACGAATCCCCGTCTGACGGGAAATTAGTGCCCACGAATCGCTGTAGAACGTGAGGAGATGTGCTTATGGCACCTGCAAAAACGATTCACGATCAACTCCTGAGTAAGAAACGCTAACGACGACCCGGTCAAGTTTTTCCTTTTTCCGGGGGCAGTTAAACAAAAGGAGAGAATACAAAGGTGGATAACGTTATGTCAGCGAGGTGACTAGTTTGTGTGGACGAAGGACAGCAACGTTTGTAGTCTAAATTTTGTCGGTGAAAATGGGCCAACAGAAGAGGATCCTGATCCCATATCTGCTGTAGTAAGTAAAGAAAGGGCAAGTTGATTCAGACATTCTTTTAAATCATTGTTTTGTCTTTGGGATAATTATGTATACCATGCCTAGTTGTCGCGACTCAATCGTAAACGGAAGGCATCTTGCGAACGGGAAGCAGACAAAGAGAGGTGCAGGAAATGTTGCCTTGAACGATCAGTGCTTGATCGTCAAAACTGGTAAATCGAAAGAGGAATATGTAGTAGTCAAAGCCCTTTTAAATCTGAGCGTAGAGCCAGTGATGAGTTCAGGAGAGCAAATCAAGTAATTAAAAATGTCGTACAATCCAAACCGCGGCGACGCGTTAAAATTGTTAACAGTCTTCAGGAGAAATGGATTGGGTATTAGCATATCATGAATTATTAATTCATCTAAAGCAGCGGCGTCGCCTTTTCGAAATTTAAATCCACTGGCAGAACCACTTTTTCGACTACGGAGGTGATTTCCACTAACGAGGTTCTAAGTATCTGCTCGCAGAATTTCCCACTTGCGTTACTTAAGGTTAAAAAAAATCGGTATATTTATCAGCGAAGGAAATCCACACCCAGATACGTAATTCCGTGTGTGAATTAGGGCTTCCCGTTCTACAGCGATTCGTGGGCACTAATTTTCTGACAGAACTGATTTTTTTTAACAATCTACGGCATAACACTCCGAAAATACCTGATCAGATACATCACTGTACGCCGAACTAGTTTGATTATTACATGCCGCAATTCTTCCTGTAACACTTTTCGCATATGATTCAACGGCAGCCAAATGACAACTTGCTTGATAAACGATCAGAAAATGATAAAAGAAAGACGCCAATTTTGAGCGAAGAAAACTTCTTGAAAGTGGTGTATTTAAGAGAAATTGCCAAGGCCGAAGTTTGAACACATGTGCTGCGAGCTCGACTCAATGTCCGAACTTTCGGAGTTTGTTTACACCAAAAGTCACGTGACACTACAAGTGAAAGCTGAATTCAGTTGAAAGCTGTCCCTTACCTCCTGCTCTTCGTATGTTGTCGTCCCACCTCTCGGCATCTTCTTCCTGTTTTCTCTTCTTCTCAAACTCCTCCACTAGTCTGCACAAATCTGGTTTCTCCATCTCGGTTGCTATGGTTTTCAGGATAGTGAGGTCTTCTATCCCCAACTCGTGCTGTTGTTCTAACTCTGCGAATAATGCATCGACATTTTTGATGTGTTCTTCTCTTTCATGAGCGACCAGATTTTTTCGTCTGCAGATTAAAATGAGTCGTTGCAGTTCATTGGACTCTTCGAGTGCATGACTTATCTGCTCCAGTAACTGTCTGTACTCCTTTCTCTTCATTTCGAATCGCTCCAATATTCGAAGAAGATCCCACTTTCTTATCCCCTTCAGTAGTTCTTTCAGTACTTTAAGACGATCAATCCCTAAAAGATTCTTCTCCTCCAGCTTGTTAAGTAACGTAATAACGTCTGTGATATCGTCTACCGAGCCATCAGGAATAAAACGGCCGTAAATAAGTTTTAACCATTCACGTTCAGATTGCCAAACGATTTCCTTGCTACACTGATCCAATAGTCGAAGGTACTCGACAACAGACATCGCTGTTGGTAGGTTGGAACGAGATTACCTTGGCGAAAACAAGTGATCATCAAGAATCAAGACGCGCTTTGCTCGTCAACAGAATTGAACCGAGTTTCGCTGCTGCCTTCAAGATAAATTTTGTAAATTGATTCGGTAGTCACACAATCTTCAACGGGTTTGGTTACAACTTAAGGCAGGGTCTAATTCTTTGCATTTGTTTCGAATCCTGAAAACATTGTTTTAAATTTCTTTTGTTTTTGATTTTTTCTTTTTCTTTGATCAATTTGTACTTGTTCACATTTACTTGCCCGTTGACACTGTATAGATTAACATATGAACTATCGCCGTCGCGTCGTCACATACAAATACGTTTATAACATAGCAAGTAAATTTGTATAAACAAATTCAATTGCGCGAGCGTGCTTCATATTCCTATCGTGCACGCTCATTGTCATTGTCAGCAAACAAATCCCTCGAGAGAAAAAATTTTCCATCGGGTTGAAAATGTTATAAAACAATTGGTTCATACGTCAGCTGTGCGTTCATCGAGATATGAAGCACTTGGGAGGTTTGGAGAGCACTCAAGAAGCTAGGGTTTCTCTCGGCTACGCCTCGAGCAACTCTTACGCATCTCAGTTCGTGCTCTCCAAACTTCCCGCGTGCTTCATATCTCGATGGACGCACGCTGACGTATGAACCAATTGTTAAATTTTGTAAGTTTAATTCAAATTGTCACACGAGCATTTGCAACGTACTGAAGATAACATGAGTAATGTGGAAACCAGTTTTGTAAACTTAAAACATCTCTTTTGTTAATAATAAACTGTTTGATCGATTGTTGAGATGCTGATCGCTACGTTTCCACTGAAACGGATTAATTAGTTGAAATTCATCAATTCTACTGACTCGGTAAAATTGTTAAAACGGCAAAGTTCGGAGAGATAAACGTTGAAGAGATAAAAAAACCATCACCAGCGACCTCAATCACTTTAGATTTAGCAAATAAGTCCAGTGCTGGCCATAAGATTCTTTCTTTTTTCCATTCTCAGCTGCGTTTTCATGGAGGTGTGTCCTTTTGAGATGAAGAGCTTGATTGGCTTGTTTTCTTTGGCTACTAATCGGGGTAATTGACACTTTCACATTATTTGAAGTGAAAGGGATCAGTCAATCGAAATCCATCGAACCAACTGTCACGAGGTCAGTGAAAAAGGATGTTTCGTCAACAAAAGCGAAATCAAATTGTTGGCGAGTTAGGACTGCTTTAGATTTCATAAATCAAAACAGTTTCTCTAAAAATTTCGCTGTTTTATAAACCTTGCACGTTTCTTGCGGGTCATGTTATGATTTTATCATTATTGACCTTTTACTCCCTAACATTGGTGTGGCATTTTCTTCTTTCCATGCTGTGCTCTAAACATTTTCTGAGGATCTGACGAGGATAATTTTCTAACAATCATTGGCTTCTTTAGTAAGTGATCATTTTCTTTATTCTCATGACCTTAATGTTTGATTCAGGGGTGACATTGTAAGGAGAAATTAGGTGCCAGTCACTCTTAGGGGTTAAAGGATTAATAGAGACTTGAACAACTGGGGGGGGAAGTTCCCTATTCACTGTTGAGTTCAGCAAACAAGCCTCCATTGGTGAAGCAACTGTTCATAAAACTGATGAAAATGTTTTGTATTACGAAGAATCGTTAGAAAAATGGGAAACAAAAACTAAAATATGTAAAAACAAGGAAGCAAACATAGGCAAAAAGAATATTTTAATTTTCCGTTCAGCACCATTTTTGATCGTAGGAAGTTCTCCAGTAGCCGACATTATCTTCTACCGGAATCTCAACTGGACCATGCAGATTACAGTGACAACCATAAAGTGTTTTACGATCCTTTAAACAATAAACTGCAATGCAGGCTTCTATTTAGGGCGAGATTTACGCAACCGGCCGTGTTTGATTTGGAGTTAGAGTAGAAGTTAAGGATAGGAGTAGGAGCAGGGAAAGGTGAAAAGAAGTAATTTCTATTTCCCCATCCCCTCCCCTCTCCTTCCTTTTGACCGTTACTCAATTCCTTAGTACAAGTTTCTCTCTCTCCCTAGTCTTCTGCTGCTATAAAAGTCAAACAATGGCAGCTTGCGTTATAATTTCACCGAGAAAATACTGAGCACTGACTTCCCAAAATTACGCCTGCTTTGCAGGCTAGTTAAGCAGCGCACACAAAGTTCTAATTTAGAAACAGCAGATGTCTGTGACAGTTTTCAGTCACTCTAAATAATTCATTCTCATT